AAAAAAAAAAAAGGAAACACTCGACTTAGAACTGTTTGGCAATACTATTTGTGTTGTTGGGCTGTTGAGCGTTGAGCATAGCAGACCGCCACACCTAAGTTGTTAAACTAAATGGATTATCTCGGCACGTTTTATAAATGAGACCAGCTTAAGTTTGTTGAAAGCTAGTTTAGTACACGAGTCAGGTTCTGGAGTGTAAAGGCTCGAAAAAATAAAATTTTATATAAATTTTTACTTCTTCTGATAAACGAACTCGATTACATGGCTCGTTTGGTTAACGACCCAAACTCGTTCAGCACTAGGCTTGTTTACACCTGTCTCCAATGTCCGGGCTGCTAAGAACATCATAAGGCCGGGCCAAAAGTTGGCCTACTTAATAGCACCTTCCAACGAGCTGGCCTGGTCCTCCATGGGCTAGCTTAAACGGGCCAGAGCAGGCCTGACAGATATCTTCACAAAGGCATTTTTTTATGCTTGATTTTGTGAGATGGACAGTAGACTTCTTCATTTCCATTCCTCACTTACTCAAGATTTATCAAACAAAATATATATATATATATATGTGTACTAATTATCGATTCCAACCCCTGAGTTCTTCTATCCTTGTAAATTGCAATCCCAAACCACATATTAGATTCACACTTGGCTCATTCAATTAAGATGGGAGAAGAAAAATCAAACAGATACGTTATACTTGTCTTCATTCGGGACTGAGATTTCTGGGGTGGGACTTAGGGGTGCACAATCGGTTACTGACTGAAATTTCGGTCTATCCCGAAAACCGAACCGAAATTTATGGTTCGGTTCGGTTCCAAACCGAAAATCCGTTGACTGGATCGGTTCAGTTATTGGTTATTCGATTAAATGAAGAAATGAACAAAGAGCACTCGCAACCGTAATTTCAGTCTTACAGAGAAGAACAAAGAACAAAGAGCAGTCATATTTTCAAAGTCTTATGGAGAAGAAAAACATGAAGACGAGACAAGACAGTGGAGTGTGTGCAGTAGCGACATCGTTAATCAACCCTATGCCCTATTAATATTCAAGACGACAACAATTTGAAATAAGGAGTATTTAAATGAAATGCTGTAGATTTTTGTTTTTTTACCACGTTATGTCTGATATGTAGTTTCTCTGATGAGATGTGGAAGTTTGGTTTCAGAAAGGTCTTGATACCAAGATAGAGCTTGGCGGCGATTTGGGATTTCAGAGCACAGAGCGATCGGACTCGGAGTTTGTAATTGTGTGCGGCGGAGACAATGTTGGGGTTTACTCATTTTGGACTTTTTGTTTAGGACTTGAGAAAAATTCTGGGGACTGGGGTCTGGGAATCGAGATGACAGATGAGGATGAGTCGATTAGGCATGAGGAGTGATGAGGATTGACAAGAATGGGATTGGGACTGCCCAAACACTTTAAATTTCATGGGATTGAGAATACATTTCTCCTTTGAAAATATTCTACTCTCATGTTCCTAATTGAAAAACGCAGATGTATGGAAACTAAAAATAAAAAATGTATAAACCTTATATTTCCCGCAGGCGCAGGTGCGGCGGCGAGTAGCCACTGGATGGATCCTACCGGCTGATCGGCCCTGACGTGACGGAAGATGAAGACCCGACAACAATGTGAAAGATGAGATTTTTTGAGAAAAACAAACAGCACATAAAATTAAAACAAAAATAGTTAAGAAATTGAAGACAAAATTGAAGATAATTACCTGGGGCACGGCTGACGGCGAAGGTGTGTCGGCTGACGGCGAAGGTGAAGCGATGAACGGCAGAACGGGTGGAGGTGAAGGAGGCGATCTGATTTTCTCAAGTGATTAACGATTGAACGAACTTCCCTTTTTTTTGAACCATCTGAATTTCTGAAGGAGGTCGAGGTCCAGCCCTACCTAAATCGGTCCTAACATATTATATGTTCTATCCGTCCCCTTTTTTTTTAAAAAAAAAAATTAATTTAGATTTAAGACAAATTAAATTAAAACATTTAGTCTATTAACTTAATTATTATTTATTTAACTAATATATATACCTATTCAAAAGCCTAATCTCAAGTATTTTAACTTTTTTTTATATATATTTTGTTAGCGGTTCGTTTTTGTAAAAATCAAACTCTTATTGGTTCAGAATTGATATTATTTGGGTAAAATTGATTTTCAGTTACTGTTACACATGATTCGGTTTGGTTCGGTTCGATTTATTTTCTCATTAGTTCGGTTCGATTTTTGATTAAAAAAAAATGCCGGTCCTAGAAATAACAAGCGGAAAGAAAAAGTAATAAAATAAAATAAAATAAATAAAAGGAGTTACAGTAAGTCAGTAACAGAAATTAGAATTGAATAACATGGAACTGCACAGCGAAAATGACTCGTTATATCTAATTTATATTTCATTATCGATTTTTTTAAGTTTCTTATTGTCTCTCACTTTTTTTTTTAAAGAATACACTTAGGCCTCGTTTACTTTGAGGGACGGGACAGGATATGTAAATTAGTCCTGGAATATCAAGTGTTTACTTATCGGGATTTGGACAGGATTGAATGAGGTGGCGCACATGTGGCATACAACTTGCAATTGGAAATCAGGCTAATCAGCTATTACCCGATAAAATCCATCTCGCCTCCCCCATGTGATAATTTAATCCCAGACTTGCACTGACTATTTTACCCTCCATTTTAGAGTTGAGAAGACGAAAATACCCCCTTTTATTATTGTATTTACAGATTTCTACCATATAAAAAATGAAAAACGGGCCATTTGTCCTATTTTCTTACAGCAGGAGGTTGAGCTTTGTCTGGAAGAAGCACAGTGACAGCCGATTAAACCATAGATTTCCATGAAATAAGAAACCTTCCGCGATTTCGCCGGCGGCCTGGTAACGTCAATGAAAAATCAGTCGAGGTGCCGCCGGACTTGGAGATTGACGGCGGAGAGATGGTCGTCCGGGTTAGTGGCCCACCTACCTGAACCAAAAATTCTGCTGTGGAGCTTGAATAACGTTTTCAAAAGATTAAACCTTGCAAACGAGGCAAATCAATTTTGTACAACTTCTAAAGCAGTTTTCAAAGCAACTTTATTCTCCTCTCGCAAAAAAACTCTATTCTCCTCTCGCATACTGTGAGAAATTCCGCTGTGGAGTTTGAATAACGTTTTCAAAAGATTAAACCAAGCAAACTGCTTTAGAAGCTTAGCTGCCTTTATGTGTGATGGGTTGCGGTCTCGTTGGTAATTGAGAAAGAGGGGCACATGAATTTTGTACAGATAAGGAGTGAACACAAGTTTTATGAAATGGGGGTAAATTAGGCATATAACTTTTATCCTATGATTTTGTCCACAATAGTAAACAAAGGATAAATTTCAGACTTTTTAATCCCTTAATGTAAACAATGGACTAATTGCTGACGTGTAAAGTTAGTCTGATTATTTTGTCTTATCCCATCACACAAAGTAAACGAGGCCTTAGTATGATCAAGATATATAGTATAATATTATTTTCATATTTCATCAATCTTAATATTTTATTCTTATTTAATAAATATTTAGAATCTAGACCCCACTGCCACATATCAAAACAGATTTCTCTATAGCGATCTTAACAATATTTTCCCCACTAATTCAACCTTACATACACGGAGCTCCTCAAAAGAAGGCACTAATCACCCATATACATCACAAACCCAACACTATTTGACTAATTGTGAAATGGCCCCGGCCGATCGAAAAGAAAATCGGTCATCGATACCAAACAATTGGTGCCGTAGAGTTCTGTGGAGGCTGAGGAATCAGGCAGTGCTGTTGCTGCCATTGACTGAAGCCTTCACTCAAAGTTGTCCCGTTTACATTTCTTTGCTCGATATTATTACCACCGTTGGTATATTCTTCGACTTCCATTTTTTCCTCACCCGTCTCCTGAGCATCCATCATCTTGGGATCATCAGTTTCTGTAGAAAATTCGGGAATAGCTTGGGTTGAGGCCCGTGGGGGAACCCACGGGACGACAGCTAGGCTTTCGTTGTAGTTATTGTTCTCTGTTGTCTCGTCCGTATTTAGTCTCCAATGGCTCGATTGATTGGACCAGGGGACTTGATCTGGATTAACGAGCTATTTGTCAAGCAAAGAGGTGCAACTTGCAAGATATCATCATAGCCAAGATAAGGCAAATCTTGATCGAAACAAGCTAAATGCATCACGAAACACACTGAATTTTCTATCATTACTGCCATATTTCTTTTCAGAATCAAATTTCATCATCCGCACTCAAACCAAATCACTTTCATAGCATATCTCAAGAAGTAACCCAAAACCAATGATAAAAACCAAACCAAATAGACATGTACACGCAATTAATACATACATTTGAAAGCCGAAACAAAATTAGGTGCCGTAGCGCTTTCAGATTACGCTCATCTTCCAATACACATACCAAATCACTATCAGATATAGCAAATCATAGAAAGAAACCCAGCAATCCACGAACGACTCAAATCTAATCAAACAAACATGCATACGTGAGTAAATACGTACTTTTAAAAGCCGTAATGAAATTAGGATCGATTGACACCGAGTAGTCAGACAGCGAGCGAGGCAACATGGTATCGTTCATCGGCTTGAACAGAACAATTGCCCTCTCTTCATTATCCGGCACACTCGGAAGCAACTCTTCAATCTTTATCCCCCCTGACGAGCTGCCAAAAGGGTTCTGTTCTTGAACCACAAACTGATCAAATGCTATGGGAACATCAGTTTCTTCATTCTCGATAATTGGAGGCAATTCAGCATCCTAAATTATGAGAAACAGAACAATACACCAAGTTACAGATCTCACTCAACTCAATCGAATTTCAAGCACTGAAGTACATAGAGCATACATAATACAGTAAACGTGAAAACCCAACACAGTGTACATCCCATAGAGGCAGAAAAAAAAGGGAAAGCAATCGATACCCATTGTTCAGCATGATTCATGATGTAAAGTTCAACATAAGAGGATAGAACTAATAA